GGCCTTTTAAATATATCAATAATAAATACTTGGATTTCTAATAATTGGTCCTTCTACCATTTCAGGTTTGCCAAGAGTAAGTGGAAATAAAAGCACATCAAGGAAGAAAGATCCCTTTACTTGAAGCTTCGATTATAATTTTAAAAGGTTGAAATCACTACTTTACTTCATTCACATTTTTAGAAAATAAAGTGTTCTGTCAAAAATAACACTTCAATCTTCACGTTTTTATTTATTTGAAACCTTCATGCCTTAAAACAAATGTAATGATTCACTTGAACCTTACAAATCATTTTAAAAATTTCGTAATTTAATATACTTGAATGGTAATACCCACCCGCCTGGTTTTATTAAAATCTGAAATATTTTGTGAAATTTTCTAAATTTAACAAACATACTTTCCTATATATGTGTAAAGTATATAATAAATATCTGGGTATACATAATATATAAAAATCTAATACAAAATATATAGGTAGTGTTATACATTTGGCGGATATCGTTTAAGTATTTTCAAAATATGTATGTAATTGCTCATTTTCAAAGAATAAGAAGCCTAATCTAGAGTACACTTCTATGTGTTTAATCAGTTTATTTCCTATTGTTTGAAAAAAACAATAGGAAATTGGACAGACCTCACACTTCCTATGACATCTGTTTGGCTAATTGTTAGTTTGGATATAAATGGAATTTTAATTTACTATATTTAAAGTAAAATTAATTTATATGTAAATACTATACCAAACAGCTCCTTGACGTTAACTTGATTAGCATTTTGTAGCAGTAAAAATGGTCTGAAATTGAACATCCTTGGAAACTGAACGTCACTGTCAACCATTGTTGTCTTATGGGTATACATAATATATAAAAATCTAATACAAAATATATAGGTAGTGTTATACATTTGGCGGATATCGTTTAAGTATTTTCAAAATATGTATGTAATTGCTCATTTTCAAAGAATAAGAAGCCTAATCTAGAGTACACTTCTATGTGTTTAATCAGTTTATTTCCTATTGTTTGAAAAAAACAATAGGAAATTGGACAGACCTCACACTTCCTATGACATCTGTTTGGCTAATTGTTAGTTTGGATATAAATGGAATTTTAATTTACTATATTTAAAGTAAAATTAATTTATATGTAAATACTATACCAAACAGCTCCTTGACGTTAACTTGATTAGCATTTTGTAGCAGTAAAAATGGTCTGAAATTGAACATCCTTGGAAACTGAACGTCACTGTCAACCATTGTTGTCTTATGGTTAAAATGATATTGAATGCGTAAGTTGTTGTCTTGTAAGTCATGGAATTGGGAGTGACAATGAAATTCCTTAAACTGCAAACATTGCCTTCCTTCATCCATTCTCTGAATGCTCCAATCCTTTCTTGACGAATTGTGGCATGAATTCTGTCTCCCCGTATAGATAAAGGTGTGTGAGTCTCGTGAATTAAAAATTTTAAGCTTCTAGGTTGAAAATTGTGGGTATCAGAACTATGTGTATATGAAAGTGTAAGAGCCTCGTGAACTGAAAATTTTAAGCTTATGTGTAGAAAATTGTGTGTGTTATAAATTGAAAGTTTAAAACAAAGTCTGGATAATAATGACCTTAAGAATTACCTCTTGATTGTGAAACACACATTCCAGTGTGTTGATCACGTTTTAGGTAGTGAAAACTGGAACAACATATGAACGGACCAATCAGACCCTCAATGCCCAGTTTGTCTTTGAGGTGTGAAGCTCCTGAATTCTGTTGTACAGCATCTTGAACCTTGTCTTCAGCCCTATGCAATTGCAGTGGAATTATATTAGCTATTCGTATAATAATGTTAAGAAAACTTTAAAAAGATCAGAAATGTACTCCTCTGTGTTATGCTGAATTTTGACAGATTGAACTGCGTTGTGTTGCAGAATTTATATAATGTTGTGATGGTGTTGAACTGCCCTAGTCGTGCCATGTTCAGGACGTGTATTCGTGTTTTAACTGTCCCACCACAGGACTGGAAGACAATTGAGGATTTGCCACGTGTTGTATATTGGAATGGCTAAGATAATGGATCGTGCATGTTGAGGAGTATTTTATATTTAATCTTCTTTGGGCACATGTATTTTACATTTAACCACCTTGGGACACATGTAATCATACGTTTAACCATCTTGGGACACGTGTAAAATTTCAATGGTCAGATTTGCCATGCTTGTTTCACGATTGTGCTTTTATATATATATAGATATGACCAATAATAATTACTTACATTATGCATTTTTTCTACAAAATTTTAGATCTCAGCCTGTTCTTGTGATTCCATTTATTGGAATGAAATAATACAAAATCAATATATATAATAAACATGTTAATCTTTTACACTAATCACATGGTTTACTGTGGTCATGTTTTATTTATTAATATATTAGACACTTTTTAAAATAATGGTTCAATTGTCTCAATTTAAATTTCAAAAAAATATCATTTTGTTGCTTATAACAAATTATATATATATATATATATATATATATATATATATTAATAAAATTAGTTTGTTAGTAAACGTGAAAACGTAACTATTGTAACTAAAAAAGAAGGGAAACTTTCAAATAGGCCCTCGAAGTATACCTAAAAAGTCAATTAGGCCCTCCAACTAAATAAACACTCAATTAAGTCCACGAACTATATAAAAACTATCAAATTTCTAATTTAGCAGGTTGATTCTAGGCAGTGGCGGATGTGCTTTATGCAAGGGTATTCACATGAACAGTAAAAAAACAATAGGAATATGTATATATGAATTAGAGTAATAAGTTATTTAATAGTACTTTGAATAGAAAATATGTAATTTTGAACACCCAAAACGTAAATACTAGATCCGCCACTGATTCTAGGTCAACCGGTGACCTTAGTGACATGGCAGTCCAACTAGGATATTTGAATGTTTTATCTATTTCTTTCTTTTTCTTTTATTTTTGCCTTCTCCTTTTAACCTTTCTTCCACAACCGGACAACCTCTTTTTCATTTGTTTTTCATCTTCTTCACACCCCCACCCCTTCCCTCTCCTCCCCTACCCTCTTCTTTCTTTGTCTTTCACAGCCAAGCCCACCCCACCCCTACGATCTTTCTTCTTCTTCGGGCCAGCGCTTCCCACACTTCCCCAGCTCCTTTGTTCTTCCTCAACCCGCCCTAGCCTGGCCTATTCGTGTATCTTCTTCTTCAGCCTGCTCGATTGGGATCCTCTACCCGACTAGGAGGGTGTCTTGCGAATCGGACGGGAGGGGAGCGGCCAACACGGTCTCGAGATCGGCGAAAAAGTGGAGCCCAAGATCTCTAACCGTTGAATTGTCGATCGGACGACCGGGAGGAAGCAAGGCACTCTAAGGTAGAGAGTGAAGGCCGGAAGCAACAACGTCGCCGGAAGAAGTTGACGAGGCTCGGCTGCTCGCCGCTAGAGGAAGTTGAAGAGGCCCGCCGCCGGAGGAAGTTGAAGAGGCCGGCTGCCCAAACTACCCGCCTCACCACCTTCGGATTGAGGTTCTCTTAGTCACTGGGTTGCTCAATTGGTAGAAGAATAGATAAGTGGGATACATTAGGGCGGAAGAAAAATGAACTGGGAAGCATGTCGGCAGTGGGAAGAAGAGAGACGAGAAAGAAATGGGAGGGGGAGAAACGGAGTTGGGCCAAAGAATAAAGAAGAAAAGGAAAGGTCTCAAACTTTCATAAAAAGTCGATTAAGTCCTTCTATAGGACACTCTGTCCGGCCGTCGCGATTTGGGCGGTTTCCGGTGGAATTTTTTGATGAAATTTTTTGAGCATCTTATTCATCCAGTCTAGTTTACTCATACCAAATTCGGCTAAAAATTTCATTGGGAACACATTCAAATCAATCCGAGAACGCAAAAATGCGCAGTTATCTTCAAGAATTAATTTGAATGTGTTCCCGATTGAATTTTTAGCTAAAATTTGGTATGAGTAAACTAGACTTGATGAATAAGATGCTCAAAAAAATTCATCAAAAAATTCCACCGGGAACCGCCCCAAATCGCGACGGCCGGACAAAGTCTCCTATAGAAGGACTTAATTGACTTTTTTATGAAAGTTCGAGTACCTATTTGACAGTTTTCCCAAGAAAAAAATAAAGCGGGAAGAGAGGGAAAATGAACAAAAAAAGGTAAAAATAAAAAAGGTGGGAGTGATTTAGAATTGACCGGCTAAATTAGAACATCGGTTGTTTTTATATAGTTGGAGGGTCTAAATGATTGTTTTGATATATTTCAAAGGCGAATTTAACAGTTTTTCCAAAAATGAAAGACGAAAGTAATAAAAGAGATTTTTTTGGAGCATACACTTGGCCAAGGCTCTGTTTGCAATCACTTGTGCTTAAATAAAAGTACTTTTTGGGAAAAAGTGATTAGTAGTAAAAGTTGGTACTGTTTGGTAAAATAAGTGCTTTTTGTGTAATAGAAAAAATAAAAAGTAGATTGTACACGAAAACCGAGAAAGTAAAAATTGGTATTGTTTGGTAAAATAAGTGCTTTTTTCTTTTAAAAAAACAAAAGCACTTAAAATAATAGTTTGCCAACAAGCCCCAAGTAGAAGATAGGCTATGTTTGGCACACAAAAGACTCTAGCTTCTAGCTTGTCTATTCTTTAAAAAGACCTTAAAAGAATCTAGTTGTATGTTTGGCATGACATTTTTAAGAGCTTTTCAAAAATTAAAAGATCTTTTTTGAGATGCTACCGGGTGTAGCATCTGAGAAAAGCTCGTGACTTTTAGTATTAATTAGTCCTAACAGCTTGTATACCAAACCGAACTAAATCAAACAGTCAGCTTTTTACCAAACAGTTCTCACCTTTTCTTTGTAAGATCTTTTCAGTCACTAAAAACTAACAATTACTAAAAAGCTTGTAAAAATATCTTTTTAGCTAGTTGTGCCAAACATACCCATAATACGCTACTACTCCGTACATAGTATATTGGAGTATTGGACCCGGGTCTGGAACCAAGTAAGAGATATTCTACAAGTTACACTTGTCCTCGTCACAGATTCATCAACGCCATAAAAAAATTAGGACTGGACAAAATGGAAACAGGGAAGGTGGTAGTGGAAAGAGTGCGAGGAAAGTCTACGGTCACTCGTTGCTTCGCGAAGTATCCTCTCAAATTCATCATCCCAAAGAAGGTTAAACCCTCGTATTCTATAACTTCAACCTGCCTGATCGTAGGCTCAGTAGTTTTACCTTTCCTAATTTAACATGCTTCTTTATCGTAGGTGGGTTCATCCCAAACGGATGCTGTTTGGATTTACACCATTACCTATGGAGGAGGCATTGTCTCAGTATGTCATCTGTGTCTCATCATCATATTTGTTCCCTCTTTGGGATCTCCTTATATAAATCTCAAACAGTATTCCTCCTAAGATGTGTGTCAGTCAAAGTATGACTTTTATATAGGGAAGGAGGGAGTATATACACACATATATATACATATATATATACACATATATTTGTGTGTGTGATCCTCTATCCTCTAAAGAGGTTTATAGTGAGGTACATCTTTTAAAATGATAAAATTCGTCTTAGTTTTAGTTATCTATTATTTCCTTAAACAGAATGAGTCATAATCTGTCATATTGGACAAATTAGGTTGCAACCTTTTTGGGAATTGTATGCAAAATGAGCTCTGGTTATGAGGACAGTTTTAAATTTTGAAATATGGTTTTTAGCAGGACTAAAGGGAATAACAATTGAGCCAATTTTGGAATCTTATCTCAATAATCCTTTCCTAGAAAGGTTTGGGAGGGAAGGGGGAATCTGGTGTTGACCTTTTGCCAAAATGCTATTTTTTGCCGCTGAGTTCAGACACTCAATTAGAAGTATCAACTATCTAGTCTCATACCTTGACATAGTTGTGGTTAAGGTGCGGATGATGATATTTGTTGTGGCAGATCATGAAAGACATGAGCTATGATGTAAAAACTTTTGTTCTGCATTTCCCGTCGTTCCTTTAGTTTCTCCCCCCTTTCCCAATCATATGTTTTGTTTGCTATTATATCTGCATTTCCTTCATTCCTTGGTATGGTTATGCTGCGATCAGGGAGACTGTATATCATGTCTTATTACAGTGGGAGATGGTTGTACAACAGTTTTGACTACACAGGCCTCTACCAAGGTCAAGTCTTTCTTTTTCCTTATTTATTGTTTGTAGAATAATAATAATTAAGATGCGATCTCTGTGATGTTACATCATGCACTTAATTAAGGGATCGTTTTGGATACTTTTTTCCTCCATTCCTTGAATACTCATGGGATTTTTACTTCCCGCAGGTGTATAAGTCTGTGGAGTCGAAGTGCTCTGAGCAACTCTTGGAGGTAGTGTTACCACTTCGGTAAATTTATGAGCAATTTGTAATTCCATACTCCATATATTTCCATTTCTTTCTGATTTTTCTTTTAGCTTCTTATGAGAATTCATATAGGTAAATGATAGGGATTATTTTTACTAAAATAGAACTCATCCGCATACATATGATATGACTACTAGTCACTAGTGAAAATACAATCAGTCATTGCAGTGTAAACTTGAACATCATCTTAATGACTACAGAATTTCCGTTATAGTCACTGGGCATTTAAAGTCACATTTCCATTATGGTCAATGGGTATTTAAAGTCACATATTTTGTCCAGTATTTTCAGTCATATATATGTCATTATTATAACTACGGGGATTGAATCAGTAAGTTATGTGCAAAAATGAATATGTTGATATCCATTTTTCTCTAGATTTATTGTCTCTTAAAAAATGTTGGCTTGCGTGCAGTAGGCAAAAGTAGGAAGCAGTTCTCTGTTGGCTGTAATTCCGGATCCAGTTACATGTTTTTCCACTGCAAAGTATTCTCAGAGGCAAGTTTTCAGAATGTCACTAGACTCAAACTTGCTGCTGGTTGACTGGATAACTAGTGGCCGGCATGAACGAGGAGAAAAATGGGTTTTTGATCTTTACAAGAGCACAAACCACATATTTTTAGATGATAACGAGCCTTTGTTCCTCGATTCGGTAATTGCTGCAATTGTCTTAAACTCTTAATACTTTTTGGTGTGTGTTCTTTTCTTCAGTTGCATTTGTTGAAAAGTAGTAATTTGTGTGTGTGATGCCATGTTCATATTTTTGTCTTCATTTTCTCTTGCAGTTAATGCTTGAGAAAGGCATCAGCAGTATTGCCGAGCGTATGGGAGGCTACCAAGTTTTTGCAATGCTCATACTTGTGGGGTAGGTGTAGCTAAGCTGTGTGTGTGTGTATACATTTAAAGTTGCTATATCTATATACTACATTTTTGCTTTGTTTTGTCCTTGCTTTTGTATTACACCTGAGACAGTTGTTCTACCTTTCAGTCCAAAGTTGGAACATGTCCAAAAACAAATCCAAGAAGATGTGAAGAGAATGATGTCTCAAATGTTACGTTTTCCTTCATTTGGGTCAGGACAGTGTGCAAATAACCAAAGTTGGGCAAAACCGACTTTTGTTGCTTCCTGCAGTGTATTTGGTCCAAAGGTACTAGAAGAGAACCCCCCAAGCTTTATTTATTTCAGCTGCACTTAAGTAAACCACTTTATGAACCTGGGTGAATCTATGTACAAAGTAAAAACTGGCCGAACCCAGGTGAGCTCAGGTGCATGTACAAAACTCTGTTTACATAGTTATTATGTTAAAACTAAATGAATATAATAAAAGTTGTTTGGATAGAGGTTCTCAAACGGATTAAATGACATTTTACTTGCAAGAACCAGATCAGAGGTTCTCCCAAATCAGGCTTCGAGATTAGAATCTGTGAAAACTTAGGGCCTGTTTACTAACAAAGATATTTTCCTGTTTTCTACTTCTGTTTTTCGTTCTCCAATTTTCTGTTTTTATTTTTCAGTTTTTCTATCTCCAATTTTCTGTTTCTATTTTTTAGTTTTCCATTTTCAAATTTGAAAACATGTTCATCTATTTTTTCACACAGTTCTCCAATTCTACACCCTTGACCCCTACCTCTACCCTTACCACGATCTTACACTCTACCCATACTCCACCACAACCCTTCATACCCACCCATACCTACTCGTAGGGGTCGGGGTAGGGAAGTTATGGGTGGGGTGGGGTAAGGGGTATGGTCGGGGTGGGGTGGTAAGGTCTAGGGGTGGTTGGGTGGGGTAGTGGGTGGGTTAGGGTCGTGGTTAGGGTTAAGGGTGGGGTGGTGGGTAGGGTTGGGGTAAGGTAGGGGTAGGGTAGGGAGTTGGGATAGGATGGCGGTAGGGTGGGGTCGGGACCAGGGTGGGGCCGGGGTAGGATGGCGGTAAGGGTGGGGGGTAGTGGGTAGGGTTTGGGGTTGGGGTAAGGTAGGGTAGGGAGTTGGGATAGGATGGCGGTAGGGTGGGGTCGGGACCAGGGTGGGGTCGGGGTAGGGAAGGGGTAGGGTGGGGGGTAGTGGGTAGGGTTTGGGGTTGGGGTAAGGTAGGGGTAGGGTAGGGAGTTGGGATAGGATGGCGGTAGGGTGGGCCCGGGATCCGGGTGGGGCCGAGGTAGGGTAGGGTGGGGGTAGGATGGCGGTACGAGGGTGGGGGTAGGATGGCAGTAGGGTGGGGCCGAGGTAGGAGGCCTGTGGTAAGGGGTAAGGTAGGGGTAAGTGGTAATATACGAGTGGTGGGGGTAGGGTAGGGTGGGTCGGAGTGGGGTCGAGGTGGTAGGGGGGTGGCGGTAGGGTAGGGTGCAGATCGAAGTGGGGTCGAGGTGGTAGGGGGGTGGCAGTAGGGTAGGGTGGATCGGGGTGGGGCCGAGGTCGGGGCATGTGGTGGGGGTGGGGTAAGGTCATTATTGGGAAAAATGGGTACGCGGGGTGGGGGTTTGGTGGGTAGGGTAGGGTAGGGTAGGGGTAAGAGGTAAGGTACGAGGATGGAGGTACCGGAATGGAATCGACATCGGAGCGGGACCGGACCCTCCACTAGGTGTAAGTATGCAAATTCATTGCAAAGGCACTGTAGCATCTGCGTTTTCCAAATTTGGAAAACTAGTAAAAGTCACTTCTCCAAATCATTAAGGAAAAGAGAGACATTGTTTCGTTTTTTCCGTTTTGGAAAACGATTTGGTAAACGCGTTTTTCTTTTTTCCTTTCTCCAGTTTTCTAGGAATTTCTTTGGTTAACACGTTTCCTGTTTTCTGTTTTCCAGTTTTCCAGTTTTTTGGAAAACTGGAAAATATTTCTGTTAGTAAACAGGCCTTAGGTTCTTTCTTGGCATAAAAGTATTTGTCAACTGAAGTCCAAGATTAGAAAGTTGACATACTACACCCCTTTTGTTTTTTCTTTATTTGCAAAAGTGTGTTGTTTGGCAGGGAATAGGTGTTGTGACTAGGATAGCTGCTGAAACAACCGAATCAGTTTACAATTTCCTAGGTACTCAACTCTCAAGCTTGAAGCCATTGCTTGGTGTCTCACCATATTGCTGATTCACCATTAAGTTGCAAGACAAGATTTTCAGATTTTAGTATTTTTGCTTCATTTATGTAGAACTCATTTCTGAACATTTTGAAGCCTACTTCTTTCAATAGACAGAGAATAGACATTTTGAGTATATGAATCATGAATCTCTGCCTTGTAAGATGCGGAGAAAAGAACTTCTAATGCTTATTTGTATATAATAATACTGTACCATGGTTGTCATACTATTGAGGTAGTATCCCGTTCTGACCCTTGTAACTTTTGTAATATGTTGTTTTTTGTAATTCCAGAAGTTTCCACACTTTCCCTTTTAATTTCAATAATACAATTTTACTTTATTATTCCACAAGATTGTCAAATTATTATTTGATATAATATTATGCTCCGTCATGGGTGGAGCTAGGGGAGGGCCATCCCTGACCCTGACCCAGCCCAAATTTTAAAAATGCTTGTATTTTTAGTGTAAAAAATTCTGTGTAAAATTTTTTTCAAAAATATTCTTTGTACCGGTCCAGTACGGCCCAGTGCCCTAGCTCCGCCCCTGTGCTCCGTGCCTTGTAACTGTAATACTACCGTATGATGTTTTGTGTTATTCCAAAAACATGACACTTTTAATTAAATACGGCATAATAATACTACTATGCTATTACTATCATTTTTTTTCTTTTCGTGCACAAATTCCAACAATACAATTTTTACTTTATTATTCATGAGATCATCAAATTTGGTAAATGAATTAATGTAAGGGTGAAGGGTCCTATGAATTATTCTTTATTGGATGGTCGTGACTCTGTGAATTGAGTCAACTGACTTGCACATCATGTGTATTATTAGCCTCTTGGCTACTGAACGTCTGAACTAGACTAAAATAGCAAAACATCCACATTTGCTCACAAGAATACAAGATGGATAAATCTAAGGTATTACCATATTTCAACAATACACACCAAAATACATTTTTGTATTTCCAATTTATTTCATTATATAAAATCTGATCTAAGGTAATTTTGAATCTAATCACCAAAAAATACAACCCCACATACAAACATGAAAGTAACAAAATATGATAAAAAGTGAATGAATGTCAAAAAACTGCTTAGTTCAAAATGTGGTTAAAATCCAAAACTAAGTTGAGATCTCACAAGGAGCATGGAATGTTCTTCCACGGCAAATAGCTTCCAAGTTTTCTCCAGCATATGAACAAATTGGTGAAACTTCCACCCCTGAAAGTGCAAAAGATCAATTTTTGAAAACTTACACAGCTCTGAGAGTACATAAATAAGATTTATTTATCCATTGTCAGAAGTACGGGAGAGTAACTACCTACCTGTTGCATATAAAGGCACTGAATGTGTTAAGAAGCCTCCAGCTGCTACCACCCAACGAGTGTGGAGGCGTAGAACAAGCAGCCTGGCACCAAGGTTGAAAATATTTTGGTTCTTTAGATTCATGTAAAGTTGAATGTTCTTGCTTGCATTGCGATATTGAATCCTAGAAAACTATGTTGCATGGAAACGCAAGCATGGGGAAACGCTAAACGGAAAACACCAATCTTTTAATAGAAAATAGGTGTTTAGAGTTTCTCAAAGAGTTTTCGTAGAGTTCCCCAAACCATAAAATGTACTCTTTTTTTCAAGTGTTTCCATGCTTTGTAGCTAAAAAACAATATATATTGTGAAAATATTAATCAATATTAGGAATAAATAATTTTAATCCTTGCCTCGCACTATCTGGAGTGTCAAAGTTAGTCCCGTTTGCATTTTTCACCGGAGCAAATTCTTCTTCTCTAAGCACCTATAGATACATTGAAATAGGAAGCATGATATAACTAATCGGCTTGCATTTCAAGGCGGTGAAAAATGTAACATTTGACTCACCTCAAAAAGTGCTGTTGAAGCAGTATAAGGAAATGCATCAAATATGAACTGCTCTAGTTTATAGCCCATTGTATGGCCATGGATTGAAGGTATTATTTTCTCGGCAAGATGATAGATGCTGTCTTTCTCAAGGCCATTTGCTACTTGATTCAGGAAATCCAAAGTAAACATATGCAAGCAGATATTACTCCAACAAAAACGAAGACGGCCAGTTGCCTGGTTGGTTGCACTTGATAACTCTGGATCCAATTCAGTATATTCAACTACAGAGAGGGGCCCACCCTTACCTCGCCGCACAAAAACACCAACCTTTTCTTGCGGGTATGCCTAAAGCCAGATCAAGGAAAATATATCATGGACCAAAAATGCAATTTGAGTTTATTTATTTAAACTTAATAATCTTTATTCTTGCACAGGAGATTCATAAATTCTATGCATGAACTAGTCCTTTTACATCAAGCTTCTTTAATGATTATAATTGGTCCATACTTTAGGGAATTAAAAAGATGCCTAAGAGAAAAAGGAGTAATGTATACAACCTTATACAGATGAGAGTATGAGACTTTGTTGTTCTTAGAAGCACAACCTTTGTGTATGAGAACAACTTGCACGCAGACCAATGTTTGAAATTGCGTATTGCGGAGTTGGTTTTTTTCACAAGGCGTATCGTGTAAGCCTCATTGCGCATTGAGGCGTAAGGCTAAGGCATAGATCTTAATTTGTATGTATATAAAGAGTTTGAAGAAATAAGAAAAAAATATAATAACATTGCACAAAACAGAGTAAACATAGTAAGCTTTGTGAAATGAAGTAATTATACATCACAATTTTGAACCTAAACAAACTTTTAATACTACCTCCGTCCCCAAAAGATGTGGACAAAAGAGAGTGGTGCAGTTTTTAAGAAAAGTATATTTATGTGGTTGGCAATGAATTGATAAAGTGGGAATAAAGTAAGAATGAATTAGTGGGACAGACGGAAAAGGAAAAATGGGACAATTATAGTGGGACGAAGGGAGTAAGTAATAACATGGAATCTTGCTGGAATCCACTCAAAGTAATATACTTCGTATATAATCTTGTCAGGAGAGGCCAGAAGGATATTACTTAGGCGGCAGAAGGGTACTTCGGAACCCACTCAAAATAATATTCTACCTCCATCCCATATTGGTTGTCCTGTTTTAATTTGGCGGATTATTAATAAAGTGGTTAAAACGTAAAAGATGTGGTTGAGATTTGAGTAGAATAAAGTGAAGTGATAAGGACCACATCTTTGTTGCCAAAAAAAGGAAATAAGGCATTCATTTTGGGACAACCCAAAAAGGAAAGTGGGACAACCAAAACGGGACGGGGGGAGTACTTTGCAATTCTGTATATAATCTCGTCTCTCTACTTAAACATGTCGACGCACGCCAAGGGATAGTTGGTCGCAAATAAGAACAATGCAGAGAGTTAAGAAGGAGAGGCCGACTGCCACATGCATCAGAAGAAGAGATAATAAGTATTGATCAATTACTGAATTAATTTTTTCATGTCATCGGTAGACTTATTGTTGTGTAAGCCTTCTTGCGATTTGTATATTACGCCTTATATCGTACGCCTCAGCCCTAAAAGCCGCCAGCCTTCGTATGGCGTGAAAGTAGTTTCGCCTTTCATCACAACATTCCTGGAAATCGACGAGGCGCGCCTATGTGTCCATGAGGATAAGAAATTTTGTGTGTGAAGGAGGTTAATCTGTGTGTGATAGGATTAGGAAAACTGGAAAAGATGACAGTCTTGTGCCTCCTTATGTTATAAAAGTTGCATTTGAGGGGCCAAAAGTATATTGAACTAATTGAAGCATCTTTCACACACAAGTAGAACACTCGAATAGGGTCCAGCTATGTTAACTGGTTGTGTGGAAGGCTTTAGTAATCTTTCCGTTTCATTGCAAGTAAAACTAACTTCATAAATCTCTACAATCATAACTTGGGAAAGGCTTCTTTGGCCACTTCCACACTGAATCGGCATTTTTCATGTTTTATTTTTGAGATCACAATCTTACCTGACGCTATCTCAGATTCCCAATTTTATATATAGATTTTGGAGCATGAATATAAATCACAATATATAAAGTTTTAGATTGTATACCTTTTTTACAACTTTTGCAGCAGCAGACACACCCTTATCAATAAAATAACCCAAAAAGGTTGGATCTGCAACTCTGACCTGTTGTAGTAACAGTAGTTAATATATGCACGCATGAGATATAACTTCAGTAATTTCTCATATTAACTTTAAATCATTCTTACCTCCGTCCCACTAACATTGAGACATGAGAAGGTTGTGCGGTTATCAAGAAATGTGAGTTTATGTGATTGTTATTGAATTGATAAAGTAAGAATAAAGTAAAAATGATTTAGAACCACACAAGCTTTACCAAATTTGGTATGGGACAATATTAGTGGGACGGACCGAAAAGGAAAGATGGGAGGACAATATTAGTGGGACGGACCGAAAAGGAAAGATGGGACAATCTTAGTGGGACGGAGGGTATTATAAAAAATCAACTCAAAAGGGAAGGGGTAGAACCAACCAAAGCATTGTCAACTCCATAACAATCTATATATTTAATTCCTCTTGTTGCCATGTCTTCCAATAACTTCTCGTACTTCAATGCTGAAACATTAGTTCAGGTTGAATTACTTCATGGTAAAGCACTTATGTTCAATACATTAATATGAAGAAAAGAAAAATACTTTTTGAATATGTAACCTACCAGTATACACTCCTCCATTTCCATCAGGGGACTTAGCTACCTATGTTTCAAAGAAAATGTCACATTATAATCAATAATTATATAAATAGTATGAAGGTAAAAAGGATTAAAAAGGGGATGGGTAAACTCTAAAATAATCATCCGCATCCTTTCCCCAGAGCTTTGATCCCTAAAGAAATATAAATAGCCCTGATACCACCAGGGGGGAGAGAGTGGGAGAAGCAATAAGCCTACAAAAACATCTACGGTTTCCATATGGTCTAATGTTAACCTTCATTAACATTTTGTGTGAAGGAAGAGTGACTTCAAGTGAATAAGGGAGCTCTAATCTATGAGCGGAACCAAACCCTAATGTTTAATCACGATATGAAAGAAATCACCATACTCTATATGGAGTCTCCATTATAAATCTCCCATCCTTTGAGACACATGGAATTGTTCCCTGTTTGAAGAATGTGACCTGCATCCGAAACGGTTTTTACTCATTTCAAGTGAAACAAATATCAATAAAGCGGTATCACACTATGAGCCCATTGGTTAAGGATTATCTAGCTGAAATGAAATGGCTAAATCTTTTGAATTTCTGGAAGGAAAAGAGTTTATAAAATCAATTTCAGCCAAATGAGCGAGTAAACTACACTTATTCTGCTTATTAGGATTATTCTACTTATTAGCAGATGAGCAGAATAACCCGATTAATGCAACTAAAC